ACCATATTTTGAAGATTGTTGATCCATCACGTCCTTTCATTGTTACAACTGATGCTAGTGAGTTTGGGATTGGGGTTGTGCTAGAGCAAGATGACGGGAGAGGCTATAGGCCTATTAGAGTTGATGTCTAAATAGCTAACTCCACCTACGAAAGAGAATTGTATGCCTTGGTTGAAGTGTTGAACACATGGAAACATTACTTGCTCAGAAGACACTTTACGGTTTATTCAAGACCTTGAAGTGGATTAAGACACTACGTCGACTCTTTGACAAGTTAGTCAGATGGTTTACATTCATTGACACGTTTGACTTTGAGTTGAACCATTAAGGGCAAGTCTAACGTTGTTGTTGATGCTTTGTCAAAGTGTTCTCATTTCTTTGGTGCCATTGTTACCTACCTTGACATCGCGACTGAGTTGAAGGACCGAATTCGACAAGGGTATGTTGGGAATCCAATCGTTAGTCCTATCATTCAAACCCTTCAGAAGAACCCTGGACTCTTCCCTGAGTATCGAATGACTAATGACTTGCTCTTCTTCATTGATCAAACCGAATAAAGATTTTGCATTCCTCATAGAGAAGATATCAAAAGTATGGTTTGGGGGGAATGTCATAAAACTGAGGGTCACTTCGGGTTTAAGAAGACATATGCCAATGTGAGAGAGTTTTTTGAATGGAAAGGAATGAAAGAGGATGTGCTAACATATGTGAGAACTTGTCTTGTCTGGCAAAATAATAAGTCGTCTAACGAGAATCCTTTGGGGCTACTTCGACCGCTTCTTATTCCAAGTGAACCAGGTGAGTCCATCTCCATCGACTTTACAAGTCTCACCAAGAGTCGGAATGAGAACAATCAGGTAATGGTCATTATTGATAGGTTCTCTAAATATGCTATGTTTGAACCTCTACCATCGGAAGCCCGATCGGAACTCATCATCCAAAAGTTCAAATGCGATGGGTTTCCGAGTACGGATTCCCGAAAACCATCGTCTCTTATAGGGATGTACGGTTCACTGACCAGCAATGGCAAAAGCTGATGGAAGCATATGACACAAAATTGGCGATATCGTTAGGTAGACATCCTGAAACGAATGGCCAAACTCAGCAAATGAACAAGTTATGCCAACAACTTTTGCGTAACTTTTGCGTATGTATGTGCGGCCTGACCAAATTGATTGGGATGAGAACTTACCAACGATTGCAAGTGCACATTGTTACATGCAGAGCACCTAACACACTTCGCAAAGGTTGGAAGTCGAGATGTCCCATTGATGCTTTGACCAGGGAACAAGTCCAACGACTACCCCCAAAAACAAAAGAATTTCCAATTATGTTTGAGCAAGACATAGCTAAAGTAAAGGATAATATTCAGATTGCCCAAACCCAGATGATCGAACAAGCAAATAAGCATCGTCGGCCATCTTAGTTCAAAGAAGGAGATTTAGTTTGGGTAAGGTCTAAAGAATTCTCCCTCGAAGAGAATACGTCCTAGAAATTGTTACTTGTCTACTATGGACCTTGGGAAGTTCACAAGGAGATAGGGGACGCGCATGGCCCGTCATATGGCAATGGCATACCCCCTGACCTCAAGACATACCCTGTCTTTCATGCTTCCAAACTGCTGCCCTACATAGAAGGCCACGAGTTTCCCAACCCGCCATCCATATTCCCGCCCTCTATGAATGGAGGTTAAGAAGTGGAACGAATATTGGAACATGGATACTTGGCAGGGGAAGACCGCAAAAGCGTACAAGGTAAAGTTTAAGACTCTACCTGTGTCAGAATCCAGATGGTTCACTAAGAAAGAATTACTACCTACTGCACCCGATATTGTCGTTGCATATGAGCGAGGGTTAAAAGAGAACTAAGCCTAAAATAAATAGTTTCTGCAATGAAACTCGAAATTGGGCCCGAGGGAATGCAATAACTCAGCTCAAAGCATGCATCAGCCGTGGGCTGTAGGTCGTCACTTTGGTCAAAGGGCCAAAATAGGGGTCAACGACCACGCCCAAGTCATGCAAACTGCCCGAAAGAAGGCCGCTGTTGTGGGGTACCCGAAACAAGACTTACTGGCCTTCAGAGGCCAACGTGCGACAGTTGACCAAGGACAACAGCAGCTCGGAAATTCAGGCCCACGAGTTAAAGTCAACATGGACCCAGTCCAGGCCGCCGATCAGACACACACCTTTGGCTGTTTGCAGGTATCTGTAAGGAATCAAGTCCAAGTGGGAATCTGCAATTGTACGGGATCCATGCCATTGGCTGCGAGACAATATGGGCCATCGTATTTGAGAGACCACAGGCTGGTCAACCGGAGTCGACACTATAAGTTGACCCAGCCCCTGCTGACCGACAGTCGGTCTTGCACATGCTGCTTGATGCTAGCTTGACGCTGGCACTATGCTGGCTGGATGCTAGCTTGACACTGGCACTATGCTGGCTGGACGTTGATGCAAAGACACATGACTGCTATTGCTGTATGCTGGCGCCATTCTCTGTCTTCGGCACCAGCTGGATACTTGACTATGCTGACGTGGCTCTTGCCACACTGATTATGACATTGATGGGGTACTTGCGAGGAAGATAAGGATCAGGGCTGTGAGACTGATCAATGTGGAGGAAGCTTACCTGTTTGCGTTCGTGATCGACATTGCGCTCTGCTGTCCGTCGTCATAAGGTGTCTGCGCTGACAAGCGCCATGATGAGATAAGCTCATTGTCAGAGTGTATCAGAGGGGACTGTTTGCTGATGTAGCCCAAGGGAGATGCCCGAAGAGGGAGTGAGATTGTGAGGTAGATCTGTCTACTATGCTGATGGGTACCTTCTCCTCCACCTTCTAAGTCTTATCTCCCTTCCACCATCCTCTTCTCTCGTGACCAGACGTTGGGCTCCCTGACTATGTGTATGATTTTGAAGACATTGAAACTGCGTTGAGACATTCTGTGTTCCGACATTGACGAGCTTCTCTTCATAGTGGGTTCATTGCAATAACAATCATCATCAGAATACTAATAATGAAAGAATGAACCAGACCCAATGTCTGAATCTCCTCCTCACTGCCAGCCACTCATGAGGTCCACCATAGCCATCTCATACACCTTCCTCCTTCCTACTCAAGTAGGAGGCTATGACAGACTAACAGACCTTGCTCAGGTGCTCAAAGGACAATGCAAAGCTGATATGCCCCTACTACTATGGCCGCCATGCCTATCACTATCCTGAAGTCCTCCTTGAAGAAGCAAACCCCCACTGGGGCCTTGCAGGTGCGGCGCCAACCGAGAAGATGGGGATGAAGAGCCACTCATGAGGTCCACCATATCCATCTCATACACCTTCCTCCTTCCTAGTCAAGTAGGTGGCTATGGCGGACTAACGGACCTTGCTCCGGTGCTCAAAGGACAATCCAAAGCTGATATGCCCCTACTACTATGGCTGCCATGCCTATCACTATCCTGAAGTCCTCCTTGAAGAAGCAAACCCCCGCTGGGGCCTTGCCGGTGCAGCGCCAACCGAGACGATGGGGATGAAGACCACCATAGCCAGGTGAGCACCCCCGCCACTCTGGTCCTTGCTCACCGTCTGTCTCCTCCTACTCCTTCCCCGGAGGAGCCTCCTCCTTGGTCCTCTCCACCAACGGATCTTTAAGGCCAGATACAGACATGATGAGGGTGGTTGTGAAACTCACCGAAAGGCTCATGAGAACAAAATGCCCCCTCCTGATAACTTATGGAACCTGAAAGATGCTTTTAAATATCTCCACTAAAAGGCCTGTAACACCCCCTCATGATGCCTGAATCGGACCTGAAAAATGCTTGTATACATTCCAGAACAAAATGAACCCTCATCGTTCTCGAGTGTGCTCACAGAAACCAGACTCATGAGGTGGCGTTCAGTTCGAAAATGATAAATCAAGGCCGTTGATCTTTTTTTTTTTTTCCCCCTTTGGTGTGCGCTCAGCAGGGGAGTAGTGAGCACACTGTGCACTGCGCCTATGTGTGTGGATCATGCGGTGCGCTCCGCACTGGTGCGCCACAAGGATGGTTTTGAGTCATGAGTCTGACGAGTCAGATTGTTCATTTTCCGTCTTCCGCTGCTTTGGATTGTTGTTAATCATCACATCGGTGGCATGCGACAGCGATAGAAGGAATAAGCTGGATGATGGATGGGCAAGTGAATGTCAGATTCATAACAGTTAGCAATTCTTCAATCTGGAGGGATGATTTTTGAGAGGACCTACCCTGTGGGCCTACACTCAGGAAGCTGGCTGAACCACCGTACATCCTGTTCAACGTGCATCCTAGTTTGCAGCTCTTGGTGGTTTTCAACAACCAGGCATAATGCTCCCCATGACCAGGTGGAGCATGCTTCTATAACCTCTGTTCTGGAATGTGGTTCATTTGAAGTACTTTCCATTCTGGACCATTCCTTATACTGCTCCATCCCTACTTTTCACCAAGCACACATTTCTTTTCACTTTTTCCTTTTTCTTTTTTGTCCCAAAAAAAGGTAAACCCCATCTATTCAGTCCGGTTGCTCGTCACCAGCAAGCCAAGAGTACATGAGGCAGTTGGAAAGAAGAAAGAGTAGACCAGACGAGAATCAGATACAACCACCCTTGCAGCTCTAGTCGCTTACACAAGAGGGGGGTTACGTCGGCCGCTCTCCTCCCGAACCATAACTCATTTGCAGGGTGCACTTGCTGGTCGGGAAGCTTACTGGCAGCACCCAGACACACAGCATGTGGATCCTGTAGATGGCGGGCTGCGGGGGAGAGCCGCCTGGCATCCTCACTGGCCGGTCAATGTCCAAACTGTAGCTGAATGTCCATTTCTCAGTCATTGTCCTTACCTTCTACTCAACAGTACTATCTCACTATTCCCTTACCGTTTGCTTAATATCCAGATCTCCAAGCACACATTCTATGTCAATGTTTTTTTTCCCCTCTTCGTTTAAGAGGGCGACAGGCTTGAGATATCATCATTGAACTGACTGGGCCCAGGTAATTCAGAATGATTTTATTCTGGTCATCTGATTGTATTTGGATTCAAACTTGGGCCTGTACCTCAACAGTTCGTGGGTGTTCCAACTGAGCTAGCCCCATTGGTGTTTCTATGTCAATCTGAATTTTAAAATGGCACGGGGACATGTGCAAAACGTGCAACCCAAACTACAGCGCCTGACTGGAGAACCTGAACGGTATTTCACATAAAAAACAATTCACAGGCCCATGCAGAGTTCCCTACCTTGTGGTGGGCTCTGGTTCACTTGGCTGGGGTTCACTTGGCTGTGGTGCACTTGGCTGTGGTTCGCTTCGCTGAATAGTCACCGGCGGCACTGACAAGCAAACGACCACGCAAATAGCCATTCTCTCTCTCTCTCTCTCTCTCTCTCTCTCTCTCTCTCTCTCTCTCTCTCTCTCTCTCTCTCTCTCTCTC